AAATAAGCGTTACAAATTGAACCTTCAACTTTTGCCTTATTTGTTACTTTCAGTTTTAATTTTCCCAAGAACCTAAGTTATGGATAAAATTTTATAGTTAATACATTGGCAAAAAAATTGGAAAATTGAAACAAATAATCACATGCATTCATAAGGGAAATAAAAAAAATCAAGGGAGCATTTCTCAAATAAGCAAACACCTGACTCAAATGAAATGTTGAATTTAACCAAACACATCTTGAATATGCAGTAATTTGGGCAATAATAATATAAACATGTTTAATAGGATTTCAGAACTTTAACATACCTTTCAAAAGGGTATATCCAACGATATTGCACTGGCCCAGCTAATCTTGCTTCATATGGTAAATGAATTGGAAGATGTTCCATAGAATCAAAGAAACTTGGAGGAAATATCCGTTCCAATTTGCACAAAATCACAGGAATTTCTTCTTGGAGCCTTAACATATCTGCATCTCTAATCATTGCACTTGTAAGATCTCTAAAAACCAAGCTCAACTCAGTTAAAGCTTTCTATACCGATGGAGGTAACATTTCCCAAAAAGCTATTGGAATCAGTCGTTGCATAAACACATGACAATCGTGGCTTTTCATCCCAAAAAGCTTATACTTTTGTAAGTCCACACACCTTCCCAAATTTGAAACATACCCATCAGCGAAATGAAGTTTAGTCACCCAATCACATACAACTTTTTCTTTCTCTTTGTCTAAGCTATAAGGAGCTTTTGGATATTTTCCAGTTGATTCATTTTTCTCCAACTCTGTACGCTTGCAATAAATCTTCAAGTCCTCTCTTGCCTTAGCATTATCCTTGGTTCTTCCTTCAATGTCCATTACTGTATCAAACACATTCTCAAACACATTTTTCTTAATATGCATGACATCGAGATTATGACGAATATGATTAGTACTCCAATAAGGAAGATACCAAAATATACTGCGTTTTCTCCAACCACAATCGCAAGACTTAACAACAGAAGCATTCCAGTTTTGCCCATCAAGATCAGTTACTTTCTTCAATCCCAAATCATTAATTTGCCTTAGAACATCTTCACTGGTCAATGGCAAAGGAGGTGGAGATGACTCGCTCCAGTTTTTTATGAAGTGGTTTGTATTTTTTCTAAAAGCATGGGTCATTGGCAAAAATTGACGGTGACAATCGAACCATGAAATCTTTCCACCACTGGATAACCTAAAAGACTTTGACTTTTCCATACAATACGGACACGCTTTTTTGCCAGCTGTACTCCACCCCGATAGCATTGGATATGCTGGAAAATCGCTAATAGTCCATAGAAGTGAAGCCCTCCTCAGAAAATTATGTTTCTTGGAAACATCATACGTGGTTACACCCTCCCAAAGAGTTAAGAGTTTAGCTATCAATGGTTGCAAAAAAACATCTAACTTCTGCTTTGGATTTTTTGGGCCGGGCACAATGATAGTTAAGAACATGTACGGCTCCTTCATGCACATCCATGGGGGCAAATTATAAGGGGTCACTATAACCGGCCAACAAGAATATTGCTTTCCTGATTGTCCAAACGGTTGAACCCGTCTGTGCACAAGCCAAGCCTTACATTTTGAGGCTCTCTAGCAAAAGATTCATTTACATGATCAAAATGTTTCCACGCCTCAGCATCAGATGGATGGCAAATGAAACCATCTTTTACATCATGCTCATAGTGCTACCTCATATGCTTAGCCGTAACTTCAGAAGCATACAATCTCTGTAAGCGGGGAGTGAGTGGAAAATAATGCATGACCTTACATGGTATTTCAGTTTTTCTCTTCTTATAGCCACTCTGTGTATGCTTATATCGAGAATGATTGCAGAACTTACAACTTGTTAGAGCAACGTCATCACTCTAATATAGCATGCATCCATTTATGCAACAATGAATTTTCTCACATGGAAGACCTAAATTACCAGCAAATTTTTTTGTTTCGTAAAAGTTACCAACCAATTTATTATCATCCGGTAATGCATCCTTAAGTACTTCCAAAAAAGCATCGTATGCCTTTTCTGATATTTGATGCTCAGACTTAACACTTAACAATCTTGCAACAGTAGACAACTGCGATAACTTTGAACATCCTGGATATAATGGTTGATATGCTTTTTGGAGCATGTCATATAACTTTTTAGTCCTTGCATCTGGTGGCTCTTCATGAATGGATTGTTCACCAAAATCTGGGTCAAAACTCGGACGAATGGCATCCATGACCATGTTGCGATACATATTGACTCCTTCAACATCGCTTTTGGATGCATTACAATGTGATTGTGAGGACTACGACTCAGATTTTTGTTCCCCATGGCAAAGCCATTCATAATAATCTTCACAAAACCCAACCTTCAAAAGGTGCAACTCAACATCACTTGGTAAAGCATAGCTCCGGTTATGACATTTACGACATGGACACCTTATTTTATCATTATCCATGAAATCTGGTTGATGACAAGCATATTGGATGAATGATTTAACTCCCTCCAGAAAATCAGGGTTAATATAACTTGTGCACGGTGAGAACCTCTTATACATCCATTCCCGACCAATTCTCATTTGACCACAAATCTGAAAATATAAATAAAAAAAACACACACACAAATAAGTATACTGGCCAATATATAGATAGGAAAAAAATGAAAACACTGAAACCACAAAAACAATGTTACTGATCTTCCAGAAGAAACTGGTAATCCAGATATGAATTGATAAATCAATAAGCCTAATTCGAGTCTTGGCGTATGCATAACCTTATAGATATTTTATAATTAAAGTTAATCCTAATACTTACTACAATCAAGAATGCCAAAAAAGCAAAACAAGTTTCAAGCGGATAATGTGATCCATCGATTGATTTGATCGTACGGTCAATTCACATTGCAATGTGCCGATATCAAAGAAATAAGCAAATTAAGTAATACAATATGAAATTACTTTTTTTTTAACACAAATGTAACAACTAGTTTTACCTAATAGCCGTTATATATACATTATGAACATGTGATGGCAATACTTAACTAAAAACATGAATGTAAGAAAAAATAATTTCTAATTGACCTCATAGATTAAATGCCTGCAAATTGACTAGAGTGCTTTTGACTTTTAAATATGAAATGACTAGTCAATCATATAATAACAAATGTCATAATATACAATATGAAAATGTGAAACAAAACTTATGATATCATACTTAGAGCATAAATATGATATCCTAAATGTGATATCTACTTAGAGCCACACCACTACAACAATTAAGATCTCATTCCACATGTAAAACCGTATTATAAAGTTTAGTGTTTTTTTTGTTGGGACAAAAAAGCACATTTAATAATTGTTTAAGAATTACTAACTTTTTAATGATGAATGACTCAAGGGGGCATTCAATTAATTAAATTGGCTCAGATTAAACAATAATAATTAGTTCAATTTTATAAAAACAAAAAAGCACAAAAAAAAATTTCTTTAAAAAAAAAAGCAAAAAGAAAAAAACCAACGTGCTTTTTATGGGCTACCAAAGTGAGTTTTCCCTCCTCATTTTGCCTCCCAAATTTAGATTTTTTTTAATACTCCCGCTATGGGCCGAGAGTTTAGCATCATCATTCTATCAACAACTAGGAAAGAAACACTCATCCAAATAACAATTCCAATCAGCGGCAATCTCCGAAATTCCATAACCTAACCTAAACTCTCACTTTAGCCACCGTAGGTTTATACCATGAATATATTTAGTTGAAAAACCTAAAATCCAAAAAATCCAGAACCTAAGATCCCAAAAACCAATCTGAAATCCTCCTCTCCGCGACTGTCGATCTGCAATCATTGTATAATTAGCCGAACATCATCAGTTCAAAAGGTTCGATCTCCTTTGTCGTGTATGCTTAAATGTTTGTTTTGTACATGGATTTTTGTAGTCATATTTTATTTATGCAGACTACTACTTTTATGTTGTGTCCATAAATTAACTATATATATAACCCTAGCATCCATGCGTTTTTCTTTTCCCCATTTTGCCAAAAGTGTCATTGCGCAATAAAAAATAGCGAATCGGTCCTCAGTTGGTATAGGCAAATTTTTAAGGGTTTTTTTCATTTTTTATTTTATTGTCAAAGATCCAACTTTTTTTTTTTTATAGAAGTTTTCCGAAGATAGTACTATCAATTATCAAATGGATTGTTTTGAATTACATGTGCGAACTGAGTATATATAATTTTTACCAATAAAAATGGATAAGTGCCCACGCGGTACGGGAGCTCTCCAAGAAGCTTACATGTTCAAACTCCGAATCTCTGTTTTGACTTTTCGTTATGAATGAATTTATGATGCTGATGATCATCTCTTCCTAGATCCGACATCGAAATGGGTCTAGGCCTCTGTCAAAGATCCAACTTTGTTGGGTTTCATGAATTGATTTCTTTTGAGATTTTTTATTTGAATATATATATAGATATATATATATGAGGAGGAAGTTGATGTATTCTATGTGTGTGTTTTTTTGTAATCAGTATACTACTTTGTCATGGTGAAAATATATTCATTTCGGTCCGTCTTGGTTTTGTTTCACTGTTCACCAAGCTGCAAGATTTCTTGAGTTTAGTAAGTGTAATATAACGTGTGGAGGATTGATTTGAGTAACTTGTCTTTGCTTCTTGATAATATTAGTCATTATAATAATAATTATGATTCATGAATGTTATTGCTTGAAATTCTTTGTATTTGCATTTGATAATAATTGTATCTATGCACAAATATTAGAGGGCTCTTTTCATTTATCTATCTAATGGCCAATTTATTTATTTATTTAGTTATTGCATATAATGTTTAGTTGCAAATATGACTAAGAGTAAAGCTGACAAGGGTGGTAAATCCACTCACTGAGGTGCCTCCACTCATGGAAAAGAGAAAAATTTACCACAAGACACTTCAGAGATATCACTTAGAAAGATCAATGACATTCCACGTTCAAGATCACAAATGGACAAGAACCACTACCAATCACCTGAAGGAATGGTTAGAGAAAGGGATTTTGTGTCTCATGATACTAGAGAAACAAATGATGTTGTTCACCGGTCAGGTTTTCAGACAACTGATGACAACTCTCAATCACAAATTCAGGATGGTAGATCAGAGATTAAGGTGCACAAGGGAAAGTAAGTATTCTAAAATATGTTATTGTTTTCAATCTAGTATGATGTCATATCTTAATATTGTATTCATAATTGTACCAGAGTTCATATTTTCAGTACTGGTTCCAGAAAAACATCTAAAAAATTTCTGGAGAAAATTGAAGTTGGAGGGTTCACATGGTCAAAAGTTTCTCAACCCACCAAAGACTTTTATTTTGATGAGTTTAAGGTACTATTAATTATATTTTAATTAATTTTTTATAAATTTTTTCTGTTCAATAATAATAATTTTAAATGTGTAGAAATTCTTTAAATGGGAACCTCACCTTGAATGTGAAGTGAGGGCCGAGTGGGATAAAAAGGCTGCCCGATGCTATGGCGAGTTCACAAGGAAGTTGAGAAAGAAGAATGAGAAACCAACTTGTTTGTCTGATAATGCTTGGAAACAATTCAAAAACTATTAGAGTATTGATAAATATAGAAAAATGTCCGAACGAAATTCTAGTAACCGATGGAGTGTGGAACAATCATCTCACACTGGTGGATCAATTTCCTATTTCGAGCATGAGATAAATTTGGTAAGTTTTTTACTTTTTATCTTTCTAAGGCAATTCTTAACTTGTATTTTCATGGTCTTTGTGGACTAAAGATGACATTGCAGAGTATAATTACATGTAATGATTTTTCTATCTCATAATACTTCCTTTATACTTCAATCCTTTAGAGTAATTTAATTTGATTACTGTTATTGCAGGAAGCTAGAGAAGGTCGACCGCCAACAGCACATGAGTTGTTTTTGCACACACACACGAAAAAGCATGATCGAATGACTTTTGTTGATAGTAAATCAGAAAAGACTAATGTAAGTATACGTTTAAATTTACACATGCATTTTTTGCTATATTTTGTGTGCGTTTATGGGGTGGTGGAGGGGGGATATTTAGTCTTGTTGCTTAGTTACTAGAGATTTATTTTTATTTTTTTTTGTATACCTCTAGGATAATGTCATACGGTTAACAAAAGATATAAGGCAAACCCTGAATTTGCACGAGGTGATCAATCAATAGACAAGGATGGCATCTTTTAGGAGGTTGCAGGCTGTAAGAAAAAAGGGAGAGTCTATGGCCTTGGGTGCCAATCATATAAATATTTTCCACCACCAATTGATAAGATAAGTGCAACACAAACTTCGGAAACAGAGTCACGATACAAGAAAGCCATACTTTTTATGAGTGAGGAGTTGCGAGCCGTAAAGAAGCAATTACGAGCAGAAAGGACTAGTTGGAAAAATAAATTCAATGGCTTATGTGAGCATCTTGGTTTCTCGACTGAGATTTTGCAACCTAAAGGTAAGAGAAGTGTTGAACTGGAAAATTATACTTCAGATAGTAGTAATGATGATAATGATGATGAAAGCCAATCACAAGAAGGTTCAATGGATTATGGCGATGAGGAAGATAGTGAGTCAGATAGCGGTTCAATGGATTCTGGAAATGAGGATGGTAGCGAATCCGATGGAGATTCAATGGATGGCAACCACCTCTCAGATTAGTTGATGATGAGGTATTTTGAATGTTTATGAGCTTCTTTTTGTCTTTTTTTTTTCTTTGAGCCTAAAGGTTCTTTTACAACCACCAATAATAGATTTGATTGTAATTCGTTTTTTAGATTTTTGAATTGTCATATTTTGGTAATTTATTTTGTATTATATCAATGGATAGTGGAGTATTATAATAAATTATATTACATTTTATTAAATTTAATCTAATTTTGTTTTTATTTATTTAAGCAATATATAATATTTTATTTCAAATTCTCCAAAAATTAAAAAAATAGAAAGATTAATTTATCCACGGATGTTCTATGTGATTTTTCACGAATCATCCGTGGTTAAATTTAAAAATAAAAATTTCTATTACACACAATTATCCACGGACTATCCATGGACAACTTGAGGTTAAAATTATCCACAAATTTCTTACAAAAAGTTTGTGTTAAAATCAACCACAGATTAATCATGATCAGTTCGTGTATAAAATTAATCATAGATTATTCACGGTCAATTCGTGGCTAAAATTAACCACATATTTGCTACGGAACGTTTGTGGGAAACGATTAACCACGAATTAATCTTGGTGAGTTCGTGGATAAAATTGTCCACAGTTTTGCTACGAAAAGTTTGTGGAAAAGATTAACCACGTCTTACTCACGGTTAGTTCGTGAATAAAATTAGCAACGACTTTATTACGGAAGGTTCGTGGATAAATTTACCACCGAGTATCTACGGAATGTTTGTGGAAACTAACCACAGATTATCCACCACAATGTCGTGGATAAGTCGTCGCGTTTTCACCAAAAACCCACCAATATCTACACACGATATATCCACAAACATATTTGTGGATAAATCATTCACGGAACCTTTTTTCCGTGGAAAAGTGATTTGCGACGGAGCATATAACCACGTCTCAGGGTTTGTGGGTAAATCCGTAGGAAATTATGTTACCCACAGACTGCAAGGCAAAATTACACACAAACGTATCTGTGGGCAAATGGTAATTTTCTTGTAGTGTTGCCTATTGTTCTCTTCTCTAACAACGAAGAAACTCGGTTACATTTAGCTTCTCCCGTTTTACTTGCCCACATCCTCTTTGTTAAAAAAAAAAAGAATCCTGCTCATCTGTGAACCTTCTTCAGACATCGACAATCACTTCATCAAATTCATAGGCATTCAATGATGGAGACAAAAAATCCTCAATGGAAATAGTCGATTTCCCAACCCAGATTTAGATGTCAGGCCTACGTACGGAAGGTGACCGTGACAACTTCAATTTAATCCAAGTGTAGCATCATCGCCTTTCGTTTAGGATCGATTGAAAAAGGGAACAACAACAAGATGAGATTATGTGTTTCATTTGGGGTTTACAATCAAATTTTGAATCCCTGATTTGTTTTACTGTGAAGTGAACTTCTATTCCCTATTGTAAAAATTGTAGATACCTACTTCAGATTTTATAAGTTTGGAAGAAGTTAATCTCTACTTCTAGATTGGTGTTTGTTAGAGAAATATAGATCAAATAGGACCATTTGGTTTTTGTTTTGTGGATGCGGAAAAGATTCATTCACTTATGGACCAAATTATGCAGCTTGGCCTGCATGTAAATTGTTTGATGTTTCCCCTCAAAGACAATAATAAGGACAATTACCTTAAAGTTTTTTTTTGCTTGGTTGCATCTCTCGTGCAACCCGTCTTTGGTTCTTTACCACGAATATGTTTCTCTTCCTTATGCCCTTCAAGGCCCTCGCATTCTCTAGCTGAAGGGAAGAAAATCCTTGAGTAAAAACTCTGCTTCTCGATGTCCTTGGCCTGGCATTTAGTAAAAAACATGTTCCTCTTTGCTCCTTACACTCTCATTCACTACTGTAGTGGTTCACCGGGTCAGCGCTAGTTTGTGTATCGTTCATGGTCAGTCAATAATGCGTGGCGATGATATCATTTTCTACACATTAGCTTTGATTCTTGCATTTATGCCGGACGTTCTACCGGCAGTTCTCTTCTGTGACAGTCAAAATTGTGCTGCTACTTGTCCTGCACGTTAAGTATAGTTGTATTGACATTGGTCACAGTTGATGCTGAGAGCTTTCCATTTTCCATGAGGAAGCAAAATTACAGAGTATGTTGGTTGTTTCTATGTTAAGGTTGAGTAAATTGAGGGTATAGTGAATGTAAATGTAGGTGAAAGATAGGTCTTTTACTTGAGTTCGACATATATGCATATGCTATTGTACCCTTGAAAATATTTGATGTGTTGGCTGGCTACACTAGATCGATGCATTAATGGCACTATTGTCACAATATTTTAGCACAACTTTGTATGTTAATCACAACATTCTCTATTTGTTTCAAGTTCAGGCTCTTAGAAATGCCTCAAATTTACACCGTTAGTTAGAATTTTCATGAGCAGAAATCAATAACCTCTCTGATAACTGCGCCTATAGTAGATCTCATGACATTTTGTATATGATTCTTGTGGTTTTATAGAACAATGTCAAGTGAGTTCACTAAAATTAGTTTAGGGTGCATTCTAATAAAGGAAGCGCTTAACTTGAATCGCTTTCTAGATTATGCATCGTTAGACAAGATATAGCCTAAACAAAACCATATTAGTGATTTTTTGTGGATGCTAAAAAGGTTCACATACTCTCCAATTTATTATGCTATTTAGTTTGCATCTGAAATGATTTTCCTCAAAGTTTAAGAAGGGCATTCCCTTTAGTTTTCCCATCTACCGATGATGAGAATCGTATAGCCTTCTGTTACGAGGTAAAATATTGCCTATGACTTTCCTAAGTGTTTTTGGTGCATGGTTGAACTTGTTTGGTTCATTGGTTCAAGCCATGAGTTGGGAATGGCTAAGAACATAGAGCCAAATGGATTAGATTCAAGTTAAGAGATGGTTTTTCATTAGTTACTAAAGCAGTTTTACTTGGAGGGTAAGTAGTTATTTTAGTAATTTGAAAATGTAACCAATTAATTTGTAATCTAATGGCTTAGATGATTGGGGTTGTCAACCATGTGCTTATAAATACTAGTAGATTTGTATTTATAAGAGGGAGAGAAGAAGAGAAAATAGAGAGAAGGCAAGATGTAAGAATGCCTTGAGTTTTGAGAGTTTGGGGAGAAGTCTAATCCAAAAGTAGACTTGTGTTGGGAAATAGCCAAGCCCAGAAAATTATTGGCTGGGGGAATGAGAGTCTAGAGTTAGGTTTCTGGTCTCATTTGAGACGTGAATCTCTTGTAAGTTTTATGTTGAGTAGTAAAATTACAAGTGATTGCGACTTCGGTCCAAGATATATGTTTGTGTGCCTTAAAATGATTTCTTGGTATGTTGCTAAGTGAATTTCTTCAGCTGCGTGATTGCTTAGCAAGCTGGTGGGTTTTGGTTGGGCAAAATCCACGCCGGTAGATCGCCAAATTCATAGAAAGAAATTTGGGGTCTAACACCTTCCATGGTGGTTCTCCTAGTGAGGGGAATGAGCTAGTCCTTCATTCTAGTTTTGGGATGCCAAGTTTACTTTGCAGGCCAATCAAAGAAGAAAGGATGGATCTTGACTACCTATGTGATAGGGAGTTGGTTCAAGAGAGCTATATATATGATCAAAATGACGAGAATGTCATTAACTTTGGGTTCAAACCAAAGGAAATGATTCACTCATGGAAATAAAGTGCTCAAGAGTATCAAGGGAGTTTGACTCTAGGTGCTCCATGAAGATCATTGATCAAGAAATAGAAGAGTCATTTAGGTTCTTGAATGGACGGTCTATTTAATCAAAGTGTTCAAGATTGAATCCATTGCTACACAATTGGATAGGGTGCAAACTATCTCAATTGTTTTGGTGTTTTTCCATTATTTTTGGGGTCAATAAAGAGAGAGTTACAAGTTTTGGAGTAAATTGGAGTTTCTACAACTTGAGGGGCGCAAGACCAATATTCCACCTTTTGGAAGGATGTTCAAGACATTTTACTTCAATATTTGGAGCTGAATTTTGAAATTAGAATTTGTCTAAGTCTAGGAGTTTATTTTCCAGTTTATCTAGTTAAGATAAGCCATGCGAGCTGAATTAAGCTAGAGTGTTTTGTTTAGGAGTCTTAGATTCCTTCTAAGTATTATCCTATTTGAGGATACGTCATTTAGATAAGATTTCCTAGATTTTAGATAGAGTCAAAGAGATCAAACACCCTTCTAACTCTACTCTTGCGAGAGATACGATTAGAGAGTCCTAGTTGGTCTTCTTTTTGAGTGCTTTGTGACCAAAAAAGCTAGCCTATAAATAGAGGCATAGTTGAATGGTTCAAGGTACCCGTGTGTGGTCATTTTGAGTCTTCTCTAATTAGAGTTTTTTCCTTTGAGGAATTTTTGTTAAATGCTGTGTCCATTTTTCATTTGTCAAGTATGATTTAACCAAGGGGGTTTTCATCTTGTCTTGGATCTTTTGATTTTGCAGAAACCGTTTTATTCAAGTATGCTTCTTGATAGAATTGTTTTAAAACTAAAATTCTTATTTTCATACTACTTCTAGTAGTTCGAGAGTTGAGCCTTTCTTTTGGCTAGGGTTTTGAGTTCATGATGTGTGTTCATGAGTTCCTTTGTGGGGTTTGTCCTACTTTTGTTGGATGAGTTTTGCTTTAGCATAAACATTTTGAGATAGTGTTTGTGTTGCATATCTTTATTGGTTATGGAGAGTACTAATCAATAGTATTCCTTCATAGTTGAGCATTGTTTGCTCCTACCTTTTCTTGAGTCTCTTGGTTAATGACTGTTCGAGTATATTGAATGGTGTCCTTACTATTCTAGCGTGGGTTGTTGTTTAATTCGAGTCTTTCATGGATTATGTGTTCCTTGCTTTATTTGAGTTAAAGAGATAGATTTCCTTAGATAAACGATCGTCTTACTGTGAATTTTCCGCACTCTTTTGAGTTTCACAGGATAGACAAATTATTTTCGTACTTTCTTGTTTGATGGTTGCATTAACGAAATTTGTTTCATCTAT